GCTTTTTTAATTCAAACTACAATTTTATGTTAGATGTTTACCAGTACACGTTCTGACAGACATCTTCAACTATACCAAGAGAGCGCAGAGAACCAATTAATAACTCTTCTGTGGTTTTATTCTGAATATCAGATCACTAGATTATAACTACTTTATGTTGCAGTTAATTGAGAACAATAAGCACTTTGCAAAACCCTGTGCACTGTATCCTCCAACCACAAAATACCAGCCCCATGAAGTACTGGAAAAACTGTAAGCGTACTCTGGTCTATTCTGACTGTCTTCAATCTGTTTTAAGACCCAGGCTATGGAGTCTCACTGGCTTTGTTCTAAAGAATCTAACTTCCTTGTCACTAGTAATTTACAGCCCTAGAGTAATGTTCAACACTCATTACACAAGTCTTTTTGAAAACTTGAGTTAATAAGGAACAATCAAAAATTTGCTTGCTTTTTCAGAGGAGCCTATGATTTTACACAATGAAACCACAAAATATTTTGGGTGCCTCCTCACCAAGGCAGCATCTACAGGCCTTACGTGCCTGTAGAAGAATAGGATTTCTGTACTTCAAATCCCACACACAGCAACTACCTCAATATGCTAGGAAAATGAAGGCTGCCAGCCCAACTTGTTGTGCCATGGGGAGTAAGAGGCCTTACTAGGTCCACATCACTTGCAATGTGACTTCTTTTTTTTTAATCCAGCTATTCAGGAGCACAGTGGTCACCAAATACACAGGGTACAAACTCACTTCCACCTCTCCCCAAAAAAAGTTCCAGTCAGCATTCCACACCTGCACAACATTACTCAAACTACTGGTCAGTAGACTAGTGCAGGATGCTCTGTCTTCACTACCTCATCTGTAATAGTTAACTAGTCTCTTATGAGAGATAAGGAGAATGAGCATAACTCACTCCTACTACCCACCTAAGCAAAAGAAAGAAATCAGCTGAGATTTTCTTACAGTGAATGATGATATACTCAATACTAAACAGGCAACTGATAAATTGCCTATATAGGCACACAGGTGAACATGCACAGATGGGCAGAGGAATTAAAACCAGGTGTCGCATGTCTTTAGCTAACATTAACTATTGTAGTACAGAATGGCGATGGAGGAATCACTGCCTTTTCCTTCTGGTGCCCATTTATAAAGACAAATATTCTCACACACAGCTACGTATGGGAAAAACACTTGTCTCCCACATTCTGAGCCAATGCTGCTGATCACTCAGTAACTAAGACATGAGCAGGATGCAGTAAAGTCCCATGGCAGCGTACAGAAAAACATCTGAGTACGTAATTTGATATTGAAAATAGAACTGCCAGCTGTTTCTTCTGAGCAGTCATATCACATTCCTCCAGTATAAGGGGATTAAAAAAAAAAAAAAAAAAAGTTAGGAAAACACATGAATTGGTAATTGCATTACTTCCTTTTTCTAGAGTACCTTTAACTAGATGCATCACAAATACAGGTTGACTCCAGTAAGAAAAGTCATGGAATAGATGCTTTTTAAAATTTTTATTCCTGAGCTCTCTCAAACAATGTACTTAGCTTTCCTGTTGACACATGTTCTAGGACAATAAAATGCTATTGCATTCCACCATCTATGCCTTAACAAATTTCACTATATCATAGTCCACTACATTTCCATTTCCATGTACTGCCATCTGGATTGCATCTTTATGAATGCAAGTTACATTCACCCACTTACTTGGCTCACTGAATCTGTAGAGACTTGTTAAATGGCTTTAAAATTTTACTAAAAAAATGGAAGCTAAAGACTTAACAGGAGAAGAGATTAAGTAGAAAATTTCCTACTTTAATGTCAAAATTAAATTACCAATGATTTTTGGCTTCTGGCTTTGATCAGCTGATTTCTGCTTTCTTTATTTACATTTGTTCTCTGCCTGCTTGTTCTAAAACACTGATTACTCAGAAGGCATACAAGTTCACAGCAAAGATCTAGTCATATTTCAGACATCTGAAATACAAATGTGCAATGTGAGAAAATTAAAAAGAGTCCAAATGCTAGTGCTTTGTTTCTGAAGCAGTGAAGAATACATTCACTGAGCATCAAAGAGTTGTTTCATTTAAGCTGGTTCTCTTTTGCTCACTAAATTGACTTTCATAAAAAATTATAGACTGGACAGTCCAAATTTCCTCACAGAACATGCCTGTTACAGCTTTGTTGCCCTGCACTGGATGCACTGGATCTAGATCCCTCTGTAAGGCTCCAGAGAGTCAACAGCACCCTCTAGTTTGGATCTCAGCTGCAGCTCTAAGCATTGCTAGGGATTCATTTAACTCCTCCAATCAGATCATTAATAAAAATGGAAGTAACACTCAACAATTTTGAATAAGTAGTACACAACCTATTAGTTAAAAGAGAACTCTTTCCAATCTTTTAAGCATTCTACCAAGCACTTAAAACTCCACCCAGCAATTAAAAAGTACACCCTGCAGCTGTAGTACCTTGTTCTTTACTGAGATGCCCTTTTGGATAATGAACCACTGCTCTGAGCCCTAGTATCCATTTAAAAGTGAAATTTTAAAACTGTTGTAAAAACTGGCCAGGTCAAAAAGGTAAGTCCTTAGGCAGCCAAAAATCTATCTGGATTTCTCCTGTAACATTCTGTCAAGCAGCTGGGATAACTTCAGCTATTAAAATTCTCTTTTGACTAGAGATTTAATAGCAGGCCCGTGGTCTTCAAGGACCAATATTGCCTCTGGCTGGTTCTCAATTCCAACAGCAGTCCAACTTTTTCTAGGCAAAGTTTCAATCTGTTTGTCCAGTCTTAGCAAGGCACCATCTGAGGTGCAGCACCATGCCATTCTCAACCAATGGGCTAAAAATCACACTGCCCTCACTGTAGCTTCCTCCAAACCAAATGAAAACACTGTTGTTCTCTACTCTCCAAAATGTTCTTAGTGTTGAAGTCACTCATACTCTCAGATTTGGATCCCTTTAGAGCACAGACCTAACAAATTTCCAATCTTACGCCAGTGTGCATCTTTTACTTGGCATTTCACTGATAGGCTGAGGAAGATGAAAAAAACCAGACAAACTGGGGACCTCACTGCTTTCTAAGAATGCCATGAAACACTGACCTTAATTGCTTCTCAGATTACATCAAGAGAACAAAACTAAACTATATTTACAGCTCACCCCTCCCCCCCCCCCCCCCCCGAAAGAAAGAAAGAAAGGAAGAAACAGCCACAAACTTAGTGGCAAACTTAGTTTCTGAACTGTTGTATTCTCTGATCTTGGTAAAATCCCCCCTGCAAAAAACTTGCCTATCTCCCATCCAGCCACAGTTGTCACCAAAACAAATTACCACCTTGCATTACCAATGGTTCAAACAGCTTCCTGGTAGAAACGGCAGGAGGAACAGAAAATGGTGCAAATCTCTAAATGATGTACCATCACTCAAATGTTAAAACTGTACTTGTGAACAACTGCAATTAGAGTTGGGCCAGGGCAAAGTTAGCTCAGCTGCTTCTGAACACACCTGTTTCAATTTAATTTGTAATTAAGAAGCCTAGGGCACCAGAGGGGAAAAAAAAAAAAAAAAGCTTTTCAGTTACTATTTCAAACAGCAGAGATTTCATGTGCCATTTAAAATCCTGTTTTTCAGAACAGACTGCTGACTTGCTAACGCTAGCAGAATGAAATAAAGGAAAATATTTTTAGCAGCAGGAAGTTGTTACTTGCTACTGCCAATTACATGCCTTGTACTTGAACAGTGACATTTTCCCCCCTTTGCTTATTCCTGAAGATAGGTAAAAGCTGGCTTAGGTCTCCGTGCATGAGAATTTGAACAAAACTCTCAGTCCCCTTGAGCTGGCCGACACTTTTGGAGTCATAGCCAATACTGGCAACAATCTGCTGTGACAGAGCAAACAACAGTGTCCTAGATCCACTCTTCAGAAAAGGGGGAAGGAGAAGATTAAGCAAGAGACTTGGATCTATTGACTTTGGCAAAAGGCTGAATACCTTGTCATGCTAATAAAATTACTGAATTTGGGGGAGGAGAAATGGGGGCAGAGGGAGAGAAATAAGAAGAAGCATAAAAATTACATAAGAATATTTATACTCTGAGTTAATTTATCAAGCTGACACAAAGATGAATCATCCACCATTAAAATAGACACAAGGTTTCTTTATATCACAATTATTATTTACAACTCGACTAAATGTTCATGGAGGAGTCAAATATCCTCATCTTTTAATTTAAAATGTGATCTTGCAAGCCAAAATAGAACTGTTGGCAAAACTTAGTTTCTACAGGAATAGTGCCCAAAGAATGATTTCTTCAAAAACAGGATATCTTACCAGGGATCATGGCACTTTTTTTTTTTTTTTTAAACCTACAGAGTGAGGGACACAGGGCTCAAGGAACTCACATAAAAGTAGGACTCTAAGAAACACCACAATGACACAAAGTAATACCAAGGGCCTGTGGTGTAGACAGACATTTGCTACTTTTGACTCATTTGAAAACTGTATCACAAAGATCAGTTATTTTTCTGAAGTACCATACAACTCTGCTTTGACACATTAATTCCCAGATACCGAAATTTCTCATGAAGCCAATACAGTTGCTCTAAGTTAACTAATCTGAATTGTACATGGAAAGGTAAATGTCCATTATTTAACCACTGCTCTCTACTCTACTTTTAAACCAGTGGACGCAACCATAGCATTGTGTTCTGAGGTTGAAAAGTATGCAAAAAAAGAAATAAGTATCTTAGAAATGCACAACTTTACTTCCTGAATATTGTTTGGATAATTTAAGACAGTTTTTAATACTAACAGTCATTACGCCAATAGACTGACAAGGATATGTATTTAAAAAACTGTACAAGAAAACAAAAAAAGAAATCCATATGATAAAGTGGGTGTTAGTAGCCAGCACCATCAAGTCACTATTGAACTCTATGGAATATAACAGCATCTACCTGAAAGTGCGCCTATATAAACCCACAAACAATAGCAAATACATGAATACTACATCTTTTATTCATTTGACTTTTCAGCTTCAATAGGCAACTTCTTTAGAATCCAGGTTTTAAGTTCTTCTATTTCATTTCTGTTTAACTCATGATTGAGGTTTGGAAAAGTATGAAGAGAAGTTGATACTCCCAGAGACTTTAACATCTTGTTCGTTTCTTCACCCCAAGAATACAGAACTAGGTCATCAGCAGTTCCATGACACTGAAATAATTCTGGAAGAACACTTTCATTTCTTTTCAAAGCCTAGATGGAGAAGAAACACTGTGTAACACATCGCCATACATTTTCAAAGCATATTTACAATTACATGCTGACAATTTACATAACACTTCAATTTACTAATCTGCCTATTAGTGCAGATATTGTACTGTCTCTATAAAAGCAAACTAAGAAATGTTGCAGGAAAAAAAACCTGCATTTCAAGTTCCAGTGGTAAGTCTTAACTAATGATAAGGCTTAAATTTAAGACTACGTCCCTTTCCAAACAAGAGAAAGGAAATAAATTCATGGCAGCAGATGGAGCCAATGAGCATTGTAATTCACTATAAATTTTCGAAGAGCAGTTACACCTACATGGACTCTAAAAACTATTGACAACTTTCAAAGCATTTAGTTTGTTAATTCTCTTTCTGCATTGATTTAGTCTGAAAAAAGTAGTTGTACTGTCTGTTCAAAAAGCAACAAAACATTATGTAAGGACAATTTTAAAGCCTTATTTCTCTAACACTCTTTTTACCTGTTTAAAGGAAATGTAAGTTTAGAATGTTAATCTAATATCTCAGATGCAGAAACATGCTATATTTGATTTTAATTATCATGCTTTTCTTTAAGCCAAGCAACATTACTGTAAAAAACTTTTCACACTCACCTCATATACAGCAGAATCTTTATTGAGAAAACTAGACAGTGCAAAGACTCCTGCCAGATCTTGATGAAACCTATATGCTAAATGCATTGCCATTCCACCTCCCATAGAAAAGCCTCCTGTGATGGAACAAAACAAACAAATACAGGATTTTACTATACATTTGTAATCCATTTTGATTGTTTTTATCTTCAGACCTTTTATGCACAATGCAACAGAAAACTGTATTGTTATTTTGCTACTTAAACATCTTAAATCGAAAGTTGATTCAATTCAGAAGTTGGACAGCTAAAGAGCCACTACAGGTTCATCACTAGGTAAGAAAAAACAAACCAAAACACTCTGACTTTAGAAGCTGTTTGCATATGCCCTATTTCAGATACTTGAACGTTATGTATATGTATTTGTATATGAATAAAGCAAAATCCTATGAACAAAATTCTCCTGTTTTTAAGGTTAATACAATTTAAGCATAAAAGACCTGTTTTGCTGTTGCATATAACCAATAAACACTCACATTAAGCTACTCAGAGTTCGAAGCTTTTTGTTGTTGTTACTCTTAAAATAGACAACAAATAGGGGAAAAAACAGTGAGGTAGCCCACCTCAGTTCATAGAATCATTTATGTTGTAAGGGACCTCAAAGATTCAAACCCCTATCAATCAACAGGGGCAACTGAGTTCTAACAAGATCTCTGATCTAACAGCCTTCTGTTAAGTACCTATCTTAAACTGCGCTACTTTCTTATGCAAGAATTCCTCAGGGATGATTTTTACATGACAAATACTCATTAGTAAAGAAGTCCAGACCACTGCATTACTTCACAAAGGCGTAGTAGGTAAGGTACTACACTGACTGCATCCAGATAACGACTAGCATGAAGAATGATTGGCTGGCTAAAACATCTCTAGCACACAGATAACTGGCAGAAAGGTTGTGACAGCAGCCATGCTCAGAGCAGCACAAGTACACGTGTACTAATGAAACCATTAGTTTATACCAAGCTGTTAACTAGTGTTAATTAGTAGCAAAATTCTGTATCCAAATGTTAATTAGTAGCAAAATTCTGTATCCAGACCTTTTAATGCAAAAGACCTGGAGATACAGCTTGAAGGAAAAATAAAAGTAGACAAAACATGCACCCATTTTAGCTTAGTCTTCTGAAGTGATTAAATGGAGATGTGAAAATGAACAAAGCTCTTCTGTAAGGACTATGCGAGCCCTCTGTTTTGAGTTTGTTCTGTTGTACACTTAAGTTTCATATTCATACTGGTTGCTGTACAAAACTCAACAAGTGCAATGCCTCTTCAGTACTGAAACTGAGTCCAGTGATATTCAACTTTGATACTTCATTGGCTGCTGCAACCACATGCAATATCCTTGGGGCACACAAGCTCAGAAGCAGAAAATGCTGCACTCTGTAATTATTATTTGGTCATAGAGAGACAGCCTTGAACAGGGAAGTGCCCTCCAGTAAATATAATTGTAGGTCCCACAAGGTCTAAGACCCTTCTAGCTCACAGAACATCTTGTATTGTAACTGAAAGATCTGGCTTGACTTGTGTAGAAATTTTCCTACAAGCACTAGATTAATCCAATCAATGTGTTCAGCTTCTCTCATACAATAGTATTTTTAATTTCTCATCAATTTGCGATCAGAATTTCTATTGAATTCCTGTTTCTTCTTTCTAGCTACTGTCATCTTGTAGTCCTGAGGTGAATATGACCAAAACTGTAACCGAAGTATCTCACTTTAACATGAATGTCAGGGAGAAAGAAGAACACACAGTCTGGAACACTAGAGTCTGGCCTTCCTCTACAAACACGACCATCAGTTGAATCAGGTGAGTTGTATCTTCAAACTGGAAGATAGAGCTGGAATCCCATACCAGTATGCAGGGGAACTGATAATACCCTGATACTTATCTCTGGTAAATAAAGACAGGATATGCTGTTTAAACTAAAGGTTGATTTCAAGGGTAATGTTAAAAGTAATATGCCTAAGTACTCTGTGGCAGTTCAGAAACACAGGTAGTTGAAGGATGCATGAGTAAGTAAATCCAAAACACAAACTTCACACAGTTCACATCATCTGAAGTTCTGAAGAAACTTTTCCTCACAAAAATACTGAAAACATCACTGCAAGCTTTTCACCTGCATCATCACTCCCCACCAGACAAGTTCTTTCATATGTATGAGGATTCAACAATGAAAAAGATCATGTTGCAAAAGACTCATAGAATAACCCCCAAAATTTCAACCCCACTAACCCCACATTCACAGAGAGAAAAAAAAAGCCTGTGGAAGTACCTACAAATACAGCAAGTTACACAGCTATCACATAAACAACATCGTGTATGGAGCTGAGCTTTTCTGTATTCTCTTCTGTGAAACCTCATCATTTCCTCCCTTTTCTTTTGATCAGTCTGAATGACGTTATTATATCAGTCCTCTGCAAGACGAACTTTTATATTATAATAGTTTACAAAAAAGTGCAGATATGCTTTGCCCACACAGAAAATAAAGCCTGCTTTGAATGTTTTTGAATACAAAAAAAGTTTGCATTGAAAACACATTACTAGTTTGTAAATGATTTAATCTAAAATTTTGTACTGAGTTAGTCACAGTCTGGCAACCCTATCAGCAATTACTCACTAGCAGTCTTTGACAATGCAGTCACCTTCTGTTTAGAAGAATATTAGGTAATGGTTCTTTCAAGTGGCTCATACTACTATAAGAAAAATGTAATACAAAGGACAGCTAGCTCTTTGAAATTGGTTTTCCAGAAGAAAACCTGAATTTTATCACTTAACACCACAATAATCAGTAAAGACACACCATGTAGTAAATACTTTGAAACAATTTGAATAAGCATTTGCCGTTGGAAGCAAACCTCAAAACTACAAGAAGCATGATACTGTAAATGTAAATTTGACATAATGCCAAAAAAAGGTATGAAACTACTACAGGAATTCAGGTTTCAGATTAAGGAAAAATATTACAAGATATTATAAGGAATAATGTATGAAGTGACAGAACACAAGCAACACAGAGAAGTACAAGATGCTTATATACACTTATCATCTCAGTATAACCAATACCTAGATTCTACAGCATTGTTAAGAAGATTGTCATGAATTAATCAAGACAAAAAAATCACACTGCAGCATTTTACCTTAGATAGGCAAGACCTTCTCTTGAGATAAATGTATATGCCAGAACAGAAAGGCTGTGAACAAAGTTCAGATTTTACTAACATGTTTTTACAGAAAACCTGTGTTCATTTTCTATTTTTTTCACTTCATATCTATTTTTTTAAAGAGATGTGCAATAAATAACTAAAAAATTAAGCGACCCAGGAGCATTGTTTCTTAGTATTATGTTGCCTGCTATACAAAAGAGGTTTAGGCACAGGCTAAGTAAGCATAAGCACATATAAAACAGGCTCAATTCAGTAGAGCAGGTTCCTCTAACAAAGAAACTTCACTCAAACGTGCATTTATGACCTCAAATCTGCTTCTGTGTAGTCTAGTTTCTAGGTAAGACCTACCCCTGCAATGAAAATAAAGCTGCTTGTAATTTGCTTTGTTAATTAAGAAAAATTTTTTGCTAATCACAAAAGATCTGTTGAAATCAAGGGGATTTCACACTTCCAAATTAAAGAGTGTGAATCAGAAGGAAACTCCCAAGGTCTACTTTATTAATAACAAAACATTCTTGACTGGAATAACATGTAGCAGTACTAAGAAAATACCCCAACCATATGGTGATATAACACTGAAGAGAGAATGAATTGCTTGTACGTAATTTATTCATGCTTGAAAAAACCAAACTTTTATCACTACTGCCACTTTTCAGTGATAAAACCATTTTAGAGTTTATAAGTAGCCTAAAGAACATTCTAAAGGTAAAGGTCTTTGTATAAAGCCTTGAGCACACTTATGCTATGGATATTGATTTCTATTAATTTTCTCATTATTTCTATCAGTTTGAAATAATAATGCGGTTTGTGACGGTGCTTTAATATTATGTTGAGGGAACAAATATTTATCTACTGTCACACTTCATTTTTATTCATTTCTTTGTATTAAGTAAAACAACATTTGAGTTTGTATCCAAGAAAGTGAATAAACATTATCTCGCACAAAGGTTTATTTTGCTCCCTCCCTCTCAAGCATTCTGTGTACAGGAGAGAACGTTAACTGTCTTCTCTGTGCTGCACTTAGTACCTGCAATGATTCATTCCTGAATTCAGGAAGCTTTTCACATTTTCCTAGGGGAATGAAAACTTAAACAGTTTCAATACTGTTGATTCCTTCTTGATTTATAAGTCTGGCAGTAAAATCATAAAAATGGTTTGAACTGACAGAGACCTTTACCATCTAGTTCCAACTTTCTGCCCATAACATCAAATTCCACATGGCCCCATCCAACCTGGCCTTGAACACTTTCAGGGTTGGGACATCCACAGCTTCTCTGAGCAACCTGGTCCAGTGCCCCACCACCTTTGCAATAAAGAATATTTTACTAATACCTAATCTAAATCTACTCTTTTAAAGTCATTATTCCTTGTATTACCTAAAGAGACTCCGATAGAGCCTCTCCCCATCTTTCTTGTAAACCTATAGGATCATATGGAATTACAGACTAGTTTGGGTTGGAAAGCACCTTGAAGTCCATCTGGTTCCAACCTCTTGAGTTTGTGATTTTCCAAGAGCCCCTTGTTTACCCATACAGGCTTCCTGGACTTTCTGACTTCATCTTTCTTAGGATTCAACACTCCAGAGTCTGGAGGAGATGACCCTTGAACAGCAAACCAGTTTTCTTGCACCCCTCCTCTCTCCAGGGCTTTATCACAAAGGACTCGACCTGAAAAAGCCAAATTATGCTCTCAAGTCCAGGATTGCAAGCTTGTTGTGAGCCTCTTCATTGCCCAAAGTATCTTGAACTTCACTAATTCACAGCTACTGAAACTGTCCTTGAGCTTCACATTCCCTACAAGTCACACTTCAGCAAGACAAGGTCCAGCACAGCACCTCTCCTCTTTTGCTCCCCTATTATTTGGAGAAGGAAGCCTTAATCATTTTGTTACATGTACTGATTATGGCGATTTACAAAA